CCAGTCCCTAGTTCTCTATCTCCCGGTAGTGGCCAGGACACTCAAAGCCAAGGACGAGCTACACGAAGGAACACAACAGAACAACCCCAGCCACCGAACGCTGCTCACCACTCCTTCCTTCAAACGTCGTATTCTGGCTTGCGGCCACCTACTACGGAACCTATTCCCCCTCACTCGCCACCAGAGCCACCTCGAGAATCAAGATGGGTTGACGCTACCCAGATTCCGTTGTTCCACGGTTGCAGGAATGGCCGTGTCGATCTCAACAATGCGATGGTGAACAACGTCGTGGGTGATCAAATCAACTTCTCTACCACCAATATATCATATTCGTACAATTCGTATGGCAGGAGACAGGCCCACACTGAGAGGGAATACTGGAGGTATGCGAAAAATGAAGATGAAGAGACGGAATTGGAAGAAGCAGACTCAGACACGCCAAATGACGGACATGCGCAGGAAGATTGAAACCTTTATGTTGGACCTGTTGTTCCGAATCGAATATCTCATAATAACGCTCAATCGTACGTACTCCGCATGTACTCCGTTCTACTCTACATTTGTTTGGACATTATTTGGACATACAACATTCTCGATTGGTTCTACTAGTAAGTATGTGGCTACATAGACGATTGATTCTAGGTATGGTAATGACGTGATACGAGATTGTAGCAACGGAGAAAGCGAAACAGTAAACGAAAACAGCGAGGGATAGAAAGAAACAACGCTCCTTCGCTGACAGGTGAACGACAGACCACCGTTTATGTCTTGCCCTTTGGTGCCGTCTTGCTGAATAGCTTGGCCTTTTCGATGGAGGCCATACCTAGAACACAGCATTGTCAGCAAGCATTCAGGCTAGCGAAAAGACAGGAACTTACTCTCTGCAGCCAATTGCTTCTTGTAATCAACGACAGTGATTTCCTCTTTAGTGAGGTTACGAATCTTTTTATCCTTGACTTCCCATAGTTCTTGGGCAACTTGCGAGATGAGGCCTAGAACGCTGCGTAAGCCACGGCTGTTCCGATGTGTAAAAGGAGAAAGCGGGCAACTCACGGAAATCGTGCGACACCATGACGACACCACCTTCAAACTCTTGTATAGCCTTGGCTAGCGCATCAATAGACTCCATGTCCAAGTGGTTGGTAGGCTCATCTGTCAACGTTTGCGGTTAGCATTCAACGGTAAAATACGGAAAATAATAGTGGAAGCAAATGAATCCAACTGAAGATGGGGTTCGTAAAGGGGGTTGATGCGTGTAGTGTGGATGCTATGACGATGAATACACGTCAAATACGGGCAATACGGGACGTGCTCGTAGCGCCGTGACGGAGAGAGAGGTAACGGACGATTGGAGCGGGTTGCGAGATTCGGATAGTGATAGTGTTGTTCCTAGGAACTTCACGTTAAACAGTGAGACACCTTGAAAAAATTCAATCCCGGCTCTGAGGCGGAAGACTCGAGTATTGAGTCATCCCTGATGAGATCAACAAGATCTGCGACGTGGGCGTAGATTTCGTGGGTATGGTTTAATGTATAGTCCTGGCGAGACGTGAAGGTAGCTCCAACTATGACAGCCTCGGACCGTGAATGTATTCAGCGGAAGCCAACGAGTACGATGTCGGCTCGCGCTGTGAAAGCAAAACCCGACAAGGTAACAGAGCAACCGCGGCTCGTTGTCCGCTATTGGTGGGAGTAAATGATGTCAGGGTTTCTGGGAGTGTGTTGGAAGGGGCATCGAGTATGGCAGCAGAATGGCGAAATGAACCTCGAGCGTGAGGAACAGACGATAACAGACAATGGGATAAGGTTCCAAGGAGGTGTCGGAGAGAGCGTAAGAGGTGATGAGAAGTGCCTGGAGTGTGGAGGTGGTGCCGTGAGTGTCATCGTATAACGCTCATGGAAGCCTCAGTAGGAGTACGGTAACCGTGAAGGTCGATGGAAGTACTTCTGTAGTGCATTCCTGTTGTATCCCTTCGACGCTGGCAGTCTCCTCCTCGACACCTTCAAGCTGTAGAAGGGTAGCGAGGAAGGTATTTCCATCACTAGCGAAGGCGTAGTCGACAGCCGTGGGCGATTGTCTGCCGCTGCGGCTGCAGGGGACTGACAACCATGAGGTAGCCCTGATGACGGTACACAACGATTGAGCGAGTGTAGGTACCGTGGTCATCCATAAACACGACACCTAAGCCTGCGAAGGCACCAACGCCAGGGGAGATATGATATGAATAAGGAAGTGATCTCTGCGAACCAGGACGAAGATACCAACATCTAAGGATGCACATCCGACTCGGAAGTGGCAGCGATCCAGAATGCCCACACGGCATGTTGCTACGCTACCCCCAACATCGAAGAGCCCGATGTAGCGGGCGGAGCACTTCGAACACCTGCCAAAACGTAGGTACGGCGATGATACCCCTAATCACATTCGAGTGAAACGTCACTCCTTGTCCACGGGAGAACAGGTCCTAATTATTCACTGTCAAAGGAGGATAGACGTATGTCAAAACTTGGAGTATACCATCAGCTAGCAAAAAATGACCTACACCAAACGTCTACTAGACCATCCAAGCTACCACAACCGCGGATAGCCTTGCTGCACCAGAGCTTCCGCGGAACTTGCAGCCCATAGCCATGAACAAGAGGTACATCCACGTCACGAGGTATCCGAAGAGCAGATCGTTTTGCCGCTAGCTATCAGAAAGTAGCAGGCACGTCAGAACAACGCCTTCGCAGGACACGAAACAAGCGTACTCACCCATCCCAGCCGACTCAATCCGCACCAAGCCCCAACCATTCGAAATAGAAAAAGAAAACAAATACACAAACAAACTCACCCAACAACAGAATATGCGGATGCTCCATCGAAAGCTGTGAAAAGACCACACGATTCCTCAGACCGTCACTCAAGGTCCTAATCGCGCTCGTCTGATGGTTCCCCGACAGACCGAACCTTCCTAGCTGTGCACGCCATGCTTGGATATCTTTCTCTGGGAACTTTTCCGCGAAGAGAGATTGAAAGTATTCTGGGGGGCGGTAGCGTCAGATTCCGATCTGAGTAACAGCGAAGGTAAGGTAAAGAAGGAGTAAACTCACCAATCGGCGTCTTATCATAAGGTAACTGATCCGCACTGTGTTGACTGTACTTGGCCAACTTCAACGACGTATGCTTGCTTATTGTGCCTTCTGTAGGCTGCAAAGCTCCCGTAATGAGATTAAGCAACGTGGACTTTCCGGTACCGTTTGCGCCGAGAATGGCTATCCGGGAGTCCATGCTGCGTGTGCGGTATTAGCTCGTGTTTCTTGGTAAGGGAATAAGGGAAGGGACACGTACTCAATACCCATACTCAATCCCTGATATAGGTAATCTTCCTTCTTGCCGCTGTAAGAAAATGCGACTTCATCGAAAGCGATAATCGGCGGTGGGAGTTTGCGGATGTCTTCAAAGTTGAATCTAGGTTACGCATTCAGCATCGAGGTACATAAGAAAGACATAAGGTAAGCCGTACCTCAGCGGCCTCTTGGTCTCCACAGGCTCAACCAACCCAGCGGCTTCCATCTTGTCAAGGATCTTTTGTTTGGATTTAGCTTGTTTGACGAGGTTGGCATACGTTCCTGCTGAAGCGATGAACCTGCGTATCGCAATTAGTATGAGAAGAAGCTAAAGAAAGGGGCGAGACGTACTTCTTGATGTGCGCTATTTCATCTTGTTGCTTAGCATATGCCTTCATCTGGTTAACCTCGTTCTCCGATTTGGTTCGAACGTAGACGGTGTAGTTGCCTCCGTAGTATGCCATCTTGTCAGGGCGTTAGCGTGGCCAAGGAGAGAGACCCGAAGACATACCTTTTTCTTATGCGTTAAATCCATAATATTCGTACAAACGTTATCCATGAAATCCGCAGAGTGGGATGTAATGACTAGAATATGGTTATATGTCCTGATCAACCTGTTAGTCAATGCACCTCCAAAGAAAGGTAGCAGCACTCACGAGAGATACGCCTCCAACCATACAACAGCACCCAGATCCAAGTGATTCGTCGGTTCATCCAACAACAACAAATGAGGTTTGATAAACAGCGCTCTCGCAAGCGCCACTCTCATCCTCCAACCACCACTCATATCCTTTGTGGGTTTCTTCATCATCTCCTGGCTGAAGCCCAAACCGTGCAATATACTCCCAGCTTTAACCTCAAATGTGCTGGGGTCGAGCTCTTCTAGCTCCTCGTAGGCGGATTCCAGAGCGAGTTCTGCATCGGGGTCATCCGAGACGGAGAGATCCTCGATGTACGCTTCTAGTTTTGCCACTTTTTGTTTGGCGGAGGCAATGATGTACTCGAGGGCGTTGACGTCTGAGGGTTCTGCCTCTCCCTTGACGAGGTAAATATCGATATGCTGAGGGATTTCAATGTCGCGTTCTGCGAGGGATTGTAAAAATGTTGACTGTCCTTTAGATTTAGTATGTGTGATGACGTGACGAATAAAATAAACTCTCACCTTTCCGGAACCGTTTTCACCCAATAAACCGTATCTCTGTCCATAGTTCAACGCGATCTCCGCTCCTTCGATCAACAGTCTCCCATGGAAACTCAACGTGTACTGGTCGATCTTGATATCTCTACTCTTGGGATCACTGACAAGGACACCTGCAGCTGATCTGTCAGTAGCGATTTGGAGTTTGGCCATACTCGACAGATCCTCTTGGGAAGTCGCAGCAGAGGTATTGGTGAGTGGTGTGCCAGTGGTTGAACCAGTAGGAGTGTTTGTGCCGGTTCCAGTGGATGAGCCATTGGCTTTTGCTGCCTGTTTTGCGGCCTTTTCTGCGAGACGCTTTTGTTTGGATGCGGAGGGGGCCATGATGGGGGAGAGGGAAGGACAGCTTATCGATGCGCGAGGCGATGTCGAAAAGAAAAATTTTGGATTAGGTGAGATGACGTCGGGACCGAGTTTCAAACTCCGACCCGCTCAGAACGGCTATAACTGATGTAGAGAGCTTGGCGTCCACGCTGAGATGGCCGAGTGGTCTAAGGCGCTGGATTTAAGCAGCATACAAATGCGCTTCCCAGTGGAGGTAATCCGCGTGGGTTCGAACCCCACTCTCAGCAATAGGTCGGTTCGAGTTAACTTTTATTTGCTCTACGAATGTTATAATACCTTTTCGCTTTTAGCACTTACATGGCCACCCTCCGATTTCCTATTTTGATGTCCATGATTCATTTACTACCACAGAAAAATTGAAAGTTGAAATATCACAGTAAGCACTTTGGTTTGCTATCATCGACTCCAATCTCTTAATAGACAAGACAACAAACCCTTAAAGACTTCTCAAACTCCGAATTCCAAACCACCGAATCCCTGACTTGTCCCTGCCAAAGAACCCTGACTCGTTATGACAGTTCCACATGCACACTCAAGCTTCTCCGTGTCCAGCCGTGTCTGAGTCGAAACCCTGTAGATCCCCCGAGTCATTCCCTGACCATGCATCGAGGAAGCAGTCGCTTCAACTTCGGTACCTTTCCTGATCGTCGCAAGTCATGCCATGAAATCGAACCGAGACCCTTGCGGGTTCCCACGCGTTGTGCTTCTTCCTTTACCACCACCATCGTTACCCCTACTTCTTCTTTACGCTACCTCAGAGGGTATTCAAGGAGGTTGGTGAAGGTGGAGAGATAGATGAGATGTACAAGGAAATTCAAGGTGAGTCACACGTTGCACGTGGAGATTTATTAAACTTCCAGAATCGGCCTCCTATCCGAGAATCTTCGCTATACGATGGAATAAATGAACAGGACAGCGTCGGACGAAGTGATACTGTCATTGAGATGTGGGGGTGTTCAAGGGAAGCTAATATGAGTGGTGCGCCAAATCTTGGAACTACTTCCTTGCGTCTTTTTGGCTTCATTCTTTCCTTTCAGCGACGTTCTAGTAAGCCCAAAACAACCTAATCTACTTAATCTAAGCTATATACCCTCTTCAATTGACAAGTCCCAAGCCACCACAATCACTCTACTCAGTTCCAGTTGGAGCCTAACTACGCATTCATTCCTTTCTCATGAACCACGGGTCACGAAGCCACATGCAGTAGTTCTCAACAGACTTGCCCAGCGGATATAACAAGCGCAAGTCCCCTCGCTCTGGTATCCTCATGTGCAGTTGGGAATGACGATTCGACGATAGCTCAGACGCTCAGATAACGCACAAGTCCTAGGATAAGCGCCCACTAGCAAATAAGCGCTACACCACCTGGTTCGCTCAACTTGGTCAAAAAAGCCCCGTACATCTTATCCTGTTGACGATTCCAGCCTTCAGTTCCCATGTTTTTGAATCTCAAAATCTATCCATGCACCTAAGCCTCAAATCGCTGCCTCCTCGGCACAGGAACTCGATATCCTCGCTGGAAGAACGGTTTCCCTAATCTGTGACCGGGTTGTCTTCGAGTTTGAATCATTGCCTACGAACAAATTCCTCTTCATTACATCTCTGCGACTGATTGCTGCGCTGCTCAGGATTTCGACTAGTTTGAGCCGAAACACGCCCCGATATCTCAAGATCTAATTCACACCGAGCATAGCCAGTGTTCGTAGGCCACGTCGAGGACAATCTCACACTAGCGACAGCTACACCGTTTACTTCCGACTCATTCACAATTAACTCCGCCTCCACCAATCAGCTAAATCCACATTATCTGAACAACTCACCGTGGTCAATTCACCGACTTGCAGAAAATACTGCTCCCGAGTCGAAGAAGCAGACCCGTGTCAGGATTGCTCGTACCTCGGTTTTTCGATTACCCTTTCCCACCTTCTACCACCGTATTCAGCGATACCATGTTCAGGTAAGACCGTAAGGGTTCTCGCTAAAGTGCATGTCTCTATCTCTTCGAACACGAAGCGTTGATTAGCCTCATTATGATTCCCAGAATCACGCAGGATAGATGCCTTCCCCTCGATACGGAGATTTGGAGATACTTGGATCATCGAATAATCAAGAAACGAGAGGTATGATAATGGAATGCCGATAAACTGCGCGTTCGCGTTGTGTGGTTTTCTTCTGTTGAGCGCTAATATTTCACTCTTGCGCGCCACTCTACTACCAGCTTACGTTCCCCACTCTCAGCATCAGGATTCGATTGAGGTACGCGTTATAGGTAGATCCTCTGGTTGACATCTCTAACCGCGAATTTCAAATGAGTAGTTTCCAAGCTTCTCGAGCCTCGAGTCCGAATGCCAGGCAAACCCTGACTTGTCCCTGACCACTGACTTGCTTGCGATCGGAGCTCTTCTCCCTGGGTTCTTTACCCTGTAGATCCTTCCTAGCACCAATATCTCCGTGACTGGCAGATCTTCAAAGGACGAGGTATATATTCTAGGTCGGGGAATCCAAGGTTAATTCTTCTTGGTCTCTTTGGTTCCACTAATCGTCGTTGTAGCCTTGTCCACCGACTCATTCCTTTTTTCTTCGTTTTTATTTTCCCGAGTATTTGCAGTGCGTCATTACTTCTAGCACACCATTCAGACTTATGCGAGGCTTACATGAGGTACAAAAATGCTAGCACTCCAAGAGGGTTTGCTATCACCCCCAAGACTAACTCGTTGTTCGGTGTTTACTAGACACATGTAGGTACGTGTCTATAAACGTTAAAACCTCAAGTCAACTTCTAGCTCAGGGAGGTGCAATGAACATACATTCGAGGGGTGAGCCGGTAAGTTAGTCATAATATCTGTGAAACGTAAGGTATTGAATCTTCAACCAGGAAGGCGTTTTGGGGGGGCGAAAAACTCTCCTGAGATACGAGTAAGTACCGGTCAGTTTCAGGAAAATACTGAATAGGTGAGCGTTGTGCGACTTGAGTAAACCAGTCTTACCCTAAACGAGACACATGAAACGTACATGGGAATACACTTCGACATAACGGAAATTATTCACTTTAGGAACAACAAACGTCCTCTCACTTCAACATAGACAATCGCTTGTTTGTCACCGTGACCATCATTTGACAGTTGTCTACAACACAGGATTTGAAGTTACGTTCATGTTTATCGGTCCGAATACAGGAGTATATTGCGAACGCTATCAATGCCACCCTTGACACCAATTCATTAGATGCATCTATCAGGCGTCCAGGTCAAACGACAATTCGTGGCGTGGGAACACATCCAAATGCCCGCTCCGTTTGATACGGAATGCTTGTCAATGTCGAAGCCATGGCACTAATCAGTCTTTCGTCTCCTCGACGGTCCAGGCCCCATTATCTAACTAAAGCAGGACACTAGAAAGAACGTTGGGCCCACGGAGAGATCAAGCGAATAGCTTGATATACGGAATCCTACGGCAGCATTACTAGTGAAGGCGTATGTGAGTATTACATCCGTTTGTCAAGGCATGGCCTCAGTTCTACTTCTTATTTGCACATAGGAGATCATAAACTTCGAGCTCGTTCGGCTCTGGTCCGACTTACGGTGTCTGGTATAGACTAGGCTGACTTCGTTACGCCTTCATTCGGAAACATGAACCACTACTAATTCGTTTTCGTTCCTGCAGATCATGCACGTTGAACCTCCTTTTATGCAAAGAACTATTCAAGGAGCACTAATGACCACGAATTTAGCATCCATCATGATCGATATCATGATATACACGTGTGTAATGTTCGTTTCCTCAACCATTTACACTTTATAGGGGCAACTGTGGCGGATTAGGGGCTGAGAACGGCGTGACAATCAATGACAATGGTAGGAACATTCAGTCATACCTTTTGCACAAACAGGCGTTTTGACTACGCTTCGCAGTCCCACCAACGCCTGTGAATTTGACCTAATTTTCCTAATCACTCAGGTATCACTCCAATCCTCATGCGACCTGGAATGTTCGCAATTGTTTGCACTTCTCTGGTTAGTCTTGGCGCTATTTGATGGTGTTCTGGTATGTTCTGGTTCTGAGATGTTTTGGTTTCGTATACGTTTCGGGAGCTTTGATGGCGCTCCGCCCCGCTTCTTGCCTTGGCGGCAGTGCCTGTAGCGATGCATACAATTGATGTGGCGGGCTTTGTTCTCAAGTGATGCACAGAGTGATACGTACTGCGCTTTTGTGCTCACGTTATGCGTCGGTTGCGAACACCGCTAATTCAGGTGCCGAACCGCTAAGTGTACTGGTTGTGGGCTGGCATTTGCCAGCACATCCGCGGCGAGTAATGTACCGGTGCATCTCACTCGTGCATCATAGGCCATGCCGATTAGCACCAACTTCTAGGTCCTAGAGCGAAAAGTAAGGCAAGTCTATCAAAATGGTCGCATGAGGTCATTCCAACATACCGTCTATCAGTATACTCCAGGTTAGTCAGTTGCGGATCGGCGCCTATGCTGTCTGCATGTATCCTGACTCCAGCTCGAGTAAGTGTAACTATTTTATTACGTATGCCCTATGTCTTGCTGGAACGAACCAGTGAGATAGCGTGAAGGTGAACCCACCGATATAACCGAACAACCCTTCAAAACCACGCAATTTGATTATTTCTCCGAAGTTCTTGATGCCAGTGGAACGACGCTGCGGCATGTCGCTGGAAACATTTTGTTGTTTGAAGATGTGCCTGAGGCGAATCGCCCATTTTTCCCGAAACACTACGGAAGCGGTACATGTTTGGCTGAGAAGTCGCTGACAGTTGATTAACTTGAGGTGTAGATTGCAGAAGAATCAGCTCATGAGTCAAATTTACTGTCGAATTTTACAGGAGGACAGAGTCCTGATATTTTTGATTTAGGGACGCGAGATTGATGATTATCAACCCCGCAAAAGTTACGGAAGATCCGCTTGCTTATCTCTCTCAAAAAGGAAGTCCTCGAAGAGCACATGTAAGGGCTTCTACATTCTTGACACCGCATAAATAACGTCTTTGCACGGCTCGTAACGTATGGACTGCCTGTCCAAGGCGCACTTTGCTTTGGTTATAAGATCACAATAATGATGGAGGTAGATGATTGTGGGAGTAGTATTCGGCAAAGAAGTCAATAATTCAGGATTGCCGAGGTGAAAGTTTGTGACCCTGCTCGACGAAGACGATTGCCAAATCAGAACTGATGGGGATGGAGGCACCGAGAAAAGTGGAAAC